AAAGCAAAGAACATCATTTCTGAGGTTAATTCTGAAACCAGTGTTTAAGACCTATATTTAGAACTCCAGAAAATGGTATCTCAAAGCTTCATATACATGAAAAACTTCTGTAAATAAACATGAACGAGACATTCCAATGTGCTTATCTAAAGAGCTTCAAAATACGTCTTAAGAAACAGGATAGATGTCACTGCACAACTTCCATGCACTGAGGTTTCAGAAGATTTTCTTCAGCAACATCACCTAGTAAAGTAGTCAATGTACTCCACGCTGCACTCCTGCTTACTTATCCCCATTCCCACTCCGCCATCCCACTGTGCTGACAAAAACTGTTTGCATTACCACAAAAAAAAACCCTGCATGAAGAAGCTGATCTGCATGATCTCCTGGGGAAAAAGGTTATTTTTCAGCTGGACAAGTTCCTGATACGGTTTGTATGGCTCCAGACATACAAATAACGTGCCTCTGCAACTGAAGAGGTAACAAATGACTAAGGGCTACTTACAGCATTCTCAGTCACTCGCTGCTCTTTATCCTTTGAAGACATGTATATACTAAGTAGTCATCATTGAGGCTTAACATCTCTATATATACACACTATCTCTCATTAGATGGTTTAAACAAGTCCTTAGAGCAGCACCACCCAGCCCTTTTCAACTGAAAACACTCTGAGCCTAATATGAGGGATAGTAAGGAAAAAAAATGAACCTTCCTACATTCCTCCTCTTGTTGCAGATCAGTATCTTCCATAAATGGAAAACATTCAAAACTTTACAAGATTACACTCCAAACATACCAGAAAGCAATGCATACGGACCCAGAAAATCGCAGTGGTGTCTACTACTATGACTCATAGTTTGTCCAAGCTAGCTTAATCTACATAGGAAAAAGTCAAATGAACTCTCCTCTTACAATATTTTTTAACATTTTTAAAACTCCTCCAGAGTTTCAACTAGATATTCCCAGAATGTAACATAACACGAGCTTTACCAGTGGTTAAGAGCACATATCACAAGTATGACAGACATGTTAGTGTTGCCATATTTAAGATGCAGCATGCATAACAAAACATTAATGTAATAACTTGCAGTATCCCTTTTCCCAATTTCATACTATTTTATAAGTGTATTTTCTCTTGTTAATAAATGCTGATATATAGCACTCACAATGCTGCGTGTATAGCATATCTTGAACACAGACTGCTACAGAATGCAATTTTAAAGAACTTTTTCATTGCCCAGAGCACTGCATTAGCAGATTGATCGTTTGCACAACAGCTCTGGAATGTAACAAGGTTAGAAGTATCTTCCATTCATTAGAAAATGTATCTTCAATGTTTATTTATAAACTAAACACTGTGCCTACTTGAATCCTGAAGGCTTTTCCTTCAGAAAAAGTGTGTGATTTGATGACAGTGATAGAGTTCAAAAAGCATTATCTCAGATTAATAAGCAGCTAATGTAATACAGTAAAACTAAAGAGTCAAATTTTATTATTGGATTAAAATTGAGAAACTGAGTTAGTTCGTTCTTGATAGCCCACACACAGTACTCCTACATCAAAATACAATTTAACTAAAAGTTAATTCCGTATCTTTTCAAAAGTATTGCACCGGCATTTGCAAAAGTCAAAAACCAACACATTAGTACATGTTCAAATACCAAAATGAGCTTACTATTAAGAATGAAAACTGGATCAACAAAAGTTTAATCATTAGATCAATGTTTACATTTAGAAAAGGGATAGTGCATCTCTAACACATATGTAGCCTTGAATAAATACAAACCCTGATAAAAAGAAAGCAGCATGCCAGATATCTCTGAAGACAGCGCCAATACTGCAAGAGGTGCTTGTACCGTAGCTCTGCACTGTTCCCTCCTGTGTGTTATCTGTGGTACTAGAGCCATCTCCTTCCCTATGTACTTCCAAATGTGCTGCTTTCCTTAATTTCCTTCATCAGAAGAGATTAAAATTGGAAGGTAGCTTTATAAGTGCAATCTACTAGTTCTATAACGTGTTCAGCAGTTTAAGCATGCAAAAACAAGCAAGATTTAAAAATACTTTGCTAAAGCTGTATCACGTCAATTTAATAAACTCCATTTAATAAAACTAAGCATGACATTTATTATCATCACACTTAAACCCCAAATACATTTCATCTCATTATTAGAGGCTTAGACTTGCAAAGTTCACTATTGCAGGTTTTCCTGTTTTAATGGGACAATTCACTGCAGCAAACCATGCTCGGTGAAGTGCTGGAAGACTTAAGCTCTATGCTTCCAATAGCATCTCCTTTAATGTTATGTTTCCCACCGAGTCCTAAAACTAAATTTGCAGTAATATAAACACTGTCACTCCACCACTATTCAGATACAAACTGTTCTGAGGCAAAATGTCAGATTCAATGCATCAAAATTCAAATAAAACAATGCATAAATTAGTCAATGAGTAAAAGTTAAAGAGCACCATTAAGTACTCATTGTAAAGTTTCACATAATAACAGAGCACTAATTTTTCATCTCTTGCAAAGCAGAGACTGTAAACCCCTACATTTTTTCATGCATGTTCTTTAAAATAGTTTAACAATCCTAAACGATAAGTACTTTAACACAGACTATACCTTCTTCTTTTACCCCCTGTGCTGGGAGGTGGCTTAGGAGTTCGTGTTGAAACAATCTGACAGTGCACAGTTCCAAGTAGCAACATTAGCCATATTGGCCCAATTACTTCAGTCAGAGGTATATTATGTGGACTTTGGGCTGTATAGAATAACACTACAGCAGCAACTGGAAAAGAAGGGAAATGAAGTTGAGTTGAATATTTGAAATGTCTGAAATGGCCAGCTCGTTACATGGTGTTTGTTAAAAAGTGAAACATTTGGATGTAGTCCTTTACCTGCATTTTAAACCAACCCATGGAATTCTGAGGAAAGAATTATAATTGCAATGAAACAGGCAGTAATAAAGATTTAAACAGTTGACTACTGACTTAATATCTAAGTCTTCTTTTACACTTGTGATATTATAGCTATTTCTTAAGGAATGAAGGGGGAGGGAAACATTTGGAAAGCTAGATCTGTCATTAAACAACTTTAAATTAAGGTGAAACTGTAGGAGACAAAAAAGCAAATGCCATCCTTAAAGCAGCCCAAATAAATTTAATTCTGTATCACTGATATTGATGCAGCACAATCCAACAAGTTAGGTGAGCGTAGGAGTCATCAAACCAGGGGCAGGTTGTTCAGGCAAGTCGAAGTCTCTCCATCCTTGGAGATACTCAAACCCTGACTGGACATGGCCCTGAGCAACCTGTTCTAGCTGACCCTGCTTTGAGCAAGGGTTTGGACTAGACGATCTCCAGAGGTCCCTGCCAACCTCAACTAACCTGTGATTTTGTGGAACCATACATCTATTTCAACACTGTAAGGACCAACAGACTTGAGACTAGAAACTCTTTATGGTCTCTAACAGAAAGCGTTTTAAACTCCATATTGCAATCAAAGGACAAAATTGTCTACACAGATAGACAGACATGCACAAGTGCAACCCCGTATATATTTCATACACACTTGTGTGCGTGTTTGCTAGTAATGAGGAAAGATCAAAGACAAAACATATCAACTCTGAAGCAGTCCAGCTGAAGTGACCAGGACTCCAACTAGCATTTGTGGCTGGAAAAGGGGCAGTTTTCAGTTCCACAGCTGACTGTTAATTTTGCAAACCTATAACCAGTTTTTCATATATAGCCAACACCCACACAGCTCTCCTTGCTCCTGTACCCAGAGCCCAACCACTTCTACAACTCAGAAATGTCTTTATAGGCTTCAGGTCAGTCTAACCACATTCGACAGGCACATGGCAGACAAAAGAAGCAATCCCTCTTTTCTCTGTTAATTGTATGCTCTTGCTGCTCTGCCTCTATGGCTTGAAGAGCTGTGTTCTGTAACTCACCTGTGAAAAGCTACCAAGAAAAAAGAAACAACCAGAAACTCCAACAATTCAGAAATGGAACAGGGGAATAATTCTCTGTGCCTAACATACGCACACTCCATGAGAACTTGGTGTTGTTTTTGTACGACTAAGAAGTGGAAGTCCCATAACTTAGACCTACTCCTAGCACAAGAAACACATGGTACAACTTCCAACAGCTTTCACCAGTTCTCTACTAAAATTAATTGAAAAAAATACAGCCACCTTCAAACACCTAAAATATATCACATGAAGCCACACCTAACACAGCAGGTACCTGGATGTGATGTTTTCCAGCAAAAAGAGATTAGATGCGTTTTTCATGAAACAATCACTAGCAAGGAAACCAGTATTAGAAAGACTAAGAATGTATAAAGCAATGGAATTATTTTTGGCTGTGGTAATCTATTTCAAATTTCTCATCAGTCTCTCTTCTAAATTAAAGCATAAAAGTCTTATATAGAACACATAGGGTATCTTTTATTACTATATGTGAACTAAGTTTTTGCTGTATGAGGTTTCTCAGAAATACAGTATGCAACAATCCAAAATCCAACCTACTAAAAAAAATAAACAAAAAAGGTACCAATAGTAAAAGGTACAGATATCACCACCTCTTTCTAAATGAGCTTATCTGAGTTTCTCACACATCCAATTAGCATCCTAAGGTATAAAGTATAAATAAGTAGCCAGTTTTGACTCCTAGCATACAATTTGGTAAGCATATACTTCTGAGTACACAGAGCTCCATGGATCCATGTGAAATTATTTGCAGGAGTAAGCCTCCGCAAATTATTTCAAAATTCACAACAAGATTTCTTGTTACTTAACAAACATTAAGTGAAGCAGATCGATCTAGAAGAAATCATCTTCTTCCAGAAGATACAAATCTGTAGATTGTGGATTCCCACCATGAAGTTTCACACAAATTTAAGAAGATGTTACCAATTTCCTGATCTTTTCAGTAGGATGCGAAGGAAATCCAAGAACTTCTTTCTGCACAGTGTGCTGATACTGTAATTCAGATTATCCTACAATTGCTCCTACCAACAGCCAGGTGTCAGTACAGAATTCCTCACATCACTTTTAATTATTTCTTTACTTATTTATAGTATTTGCACTTATACTTTTCTAAATTACAATGGTCTATTTTGTAAAACAGATACAAATGAACTTATATCACATAGAGCAAAAAGCTGCATCAAAGAAAGCAACTGTACATTTCAAAGACCAACAGGCATTTATTTTAATAGCATTTAAAGCTTTGAAATATTTGTATTACCAAGTTTTAAAAAAGCATACATACATATATATGTATCTTACCACATAAACAATCATTATATCACTATTAGATTTCTTGTTTCATACTTAGGAAATACACAATAGAGATACACACTATAATTTCATACTTCATTGTCCTATTAGAATATAGAAACGTTTTTGAAGTGAAAATGAGGTAACACTATGAACTAAATGGATAACGAGTCAGAAGAAAAAGGTTTAACTTCTACCTTAATTCATCAGCCTGTTCGGTGACCTTGGATAAAAGTAGTAGTTCTCTTATCACACATTTTGCTAATCATACTTTATACTAAAGGAAAACAATGCAAATAAAATCTGGAGTTTAAATCTACAGCCAAGGAAAGAATTCTCTCTGTAGATTTACATAAATGCTAGCAAGTAACCTGCTAAAGCCAATCCATTTCAGAGCAATAATTCCAAGTGATGCAGTTCATAAATCTAGAGAAAATACTTCATAATTAAATAGAATCTTTTAACTAAACATACATAAACCAAACAAAGTCAGACCATTTCACAACAGTCTCAGTAGAATCTGTCATGATGACAGAAAGTCCGAGCTACAACGGAAAATTCAGACTTAGGGCAGAAATATGGCCACTGGAATCTGAAGTGTTTTGTTGTTAAGTTTTCATAATAGATTCTTGACATTTTGGTGCTGCCTTACCGATTTCATAGAAAATTAATAACTGAGCACACTTCCCGAGTAAAATATAAGCAAAACTCATACAGAAGTGCTAGAAGGAGAAGCTTGAGGGGGATTGTTTTAAATAGTTTCCAATAAAAACTTTTGTCTATTCAATTTCACTTACATGTACATTATAAGTCTTTGAATTTATTTCAAAACCATCAAAAACTCTGCAGTTAATTAAGAGCAATTTAAATAAGTGTTTTAAAAGTTGGATTATAGTGTAATACAGAATACTATTAATTCTTATCCAGTATTTGTTAATTCACAACCTCAGAAATATTTTGTCACATTACAGACTATATGGATTAGGGAAATGATGCATTCCATCCATAACGTTAGTAAACTGTAGCTCCCAAGAAATCTAAGAGGGGAAAAAAGTTAATTACAAGATAGCTCTGTAATTAATGTCCTAAAAAAGTTGCTTGCTCTCAGAATCTGCATTGTGTTAGTATTTTGCTGCTTTTAGAGTCTTATGAAGGCTCCACAAATTAAGTGTGGGTATATTTTTACATACATTCGGGAATCGGAATATAAAAACTTATTATAATGGTGTTTCTCAGAATAAGCTACCTATGAACATGGTAACAAATGAACTATAATTTAGGTATTTTACTACCAGTATTGCTATAAATTAGATTAAAATTATTAACACTATGGGATCATTTACCACAGCATACACAAATGCTAATGTAAGCAACAATATTTCTTAAGCACCTATCTCAGAAATGGGGATAAGGAGAAGTTTTGACAGGAGATCACACGAATATTTGTCAATATTTCAAGTTTTGAGGCACTAGCACTGTGAAATTCATTTTATAGCCCCTAACATTATCACACAAGAGGCACTGTCATCATTTTTTTTTTTAAACTCCATTTCTTGTTTTACATACAATTTCCAAATGATACAGTGATTCACAACTGCAAGGACAGATGGCAACATTGAAAAAATAATATTGTATTTTAATTGAATTTCAGTGAAAAACTTATCAGTCATTTAGCTTCTCAGGGTACTTAAATTGCTCCCAACTTCCATTAACCTTCTGTTTCATTTCTGTTGTACACGCTTCTGATACACTCATTCCTTTGGTGATTTTCACAGTTAGATACTGACTCACTACATTACATTTTTCCCTTTCTAATTTTCTTCTTATATATTACACATAATTAAGAGAAGCACAAAGTCAGACTACTAGAGCTAAAGATCAAGCATCTCAAAAGCAGTGAGTTGCCTTCTGTTTATTAGCAGTTGCCCAAAAAACCTTTTATAATCCAGGAAATATAAAATTAAGATGCATAGTCTCCCCATTGCAATGGAAAATACAGCAGAAGCACATAGGACAATAAGCCCCTCGTTTGCCAATCATTCAGGAGCACGGCTGAGGTCTGACTAAAATATACGCTAGAAATTCACTGCCTCTGGTGTGACAAAATAACACATGGAAGGACAACTGGAAACTGTCAAACAAGATCATTCTACCAGGCTGCACAAGCTGCACACACCTTGGCAGGTTTGGCCTGGCTTGTATCTTGATCAGAGCTCTTGATCTGCACAAGCACAAGAAAGACCAAAAGCCCAAGACAAAACACACTGCATAAGCCAAAGTTTTCTTTGATATTGCTCAGTCCTGAACTAAATCAGATAGTCCTGGAAACCTAAATTATATACAGAGATGACAAACTAACATGTGAGCTAAATGCTGAGGAAAGCATGTAAGGAAATTCTTAAATTTTCAGTATGTCCCCTGTATATATGTAAAAGAAATGTTAACCAAAAGACAAACGCCTGAGACTGTGTCATTCCAGTATTTCACAAAATATTGGAATGAACCTTAACAGCATAAAGTGAACCATGTAACATAGAGCAGCTTCCATATGGTTAAAATAAAGACATTGAGTTGAAGCCGATCCTGTAATCCAACTCTACCTTGAAGAAGGTAAAGAACAAGCAGCCAGAAAAATATGACCCTCGATGTCACTTGTAGCCACCACCTGTAGAAGAATGGAAAGAAAACAACTCTCACGATTCCTTTGCGGGTCAGAGATGTCCAAGGACTTTCAGGTTTTGCTTTAGCAAAAGCAGATCCTTTAAAAAAAAGACAAGAAATTTCGATATATTTCATTGTTATGGCTAATAATAAATTCAGTTGTTGAACAGCAGAGTAATTAAGATATTTATTTAAAGGAGCAATTATTAAACATAATTATTTGAATAAATCTCATACTTCCACCATTTCACTATCTCCTCAATCCAAAATTTGTGTAAATCATTTGGGCCATCTGGACTGCCATTATCAGGAACTTCTACAAATACCTAGATTTTGGAACGTGTGAATAACAGAACTATGTCAAGATTATTTTAAAATAAATTATTAAAAATTACTCTGTTTCACTGAGGTATCAGACTCTTGTTATGAAGTAACAGGCAGTCATATGAAAACTCCATACGCCCATGTAGACACAGCAGAGCCCATTCCCGACACAGTAAAGGGATCTAAAACGTCAACATCTTTAAATTGCTCCAGTCATGTCGTTCAGGAAAGTGGAATAAGGTTGAGAAGTATATCTGCCCAACTGAGAACTCGCCCCAGGAGCAGGGAAGCCACTCAAAGAATAATTTAGCTTTGTTTATCCCTCTACACCAATTTTTCGTCTCACTCATTCAAATGATCTTTCTCTCTCATATCCCTCCATTGCTTTTCCTTCCTGCAAATTCCCACTTCTATGGCAGCTAGAAAACTGTGTAATATTTACTTGACGGGGATGTGACTTAAATTATCCCAAGGTTACTGCAGAAGTGGCATTACCGAGCTCTGTGCTGACACGGGCATAAACTGCCAGTACTGGAACTACTTTAATGCCAACTTTGACATCCATGCGGAGCAGTCATTTAAATCCTGTTCACGTGTATCACCACACTGAAGTGGCCTACTGCTGTTCTTTAATTCCTACAACGTTTCATTTTCAGTTCTGCTTCTTTGAAGCCCAAATGTTATTTGGTTTCTTTCTCTTATATCCCATTTTTTAGAAGTTACATTGTTAGCTGATGCAATAGAGCTCATCTGCAAACCCACAGAGGATCTCAAAGAGACAATGGCAGGAGGGGGAGCCTAAATAATACCCTGCCGGGGTTCTTCTAGACCCATCACTGGAACCATCAGCCCACTGAAGGCCCATCTCCACAAGCCCAGAGCAGGACAGAGGCACAAGGGCAGGTGGGAATCTAAATCACCTTGACCAGGCTCCTCCCAAAGCTGTCCCAGCAGAGCCATCAGCCCCACTGTCCAGGTTTGAAACCAGGTTTGTCACCAAGAGCCATTAAGAGCAGCTCTCCACCTTTTAGACGAAAGCGGATTGCTGCCCAGGGGTGTAGGACTTATTATGAGATACAAGGGGAAAGGAGCACAGGACTTACTGATGGCATGCTTAGGGAAGAAACCAAGGGTGGGAGAAAGGAGGAGTTTAGGTGATTTGAGGGGAACAAGTGTGGAGAAATTGAGGGATAAAGGGATAAAAAGGACTGGTCACTCATAAATAGCTGCTGCTCACGCCAAGCGCCTGATCTTCCTAAATTCCTTTCTCTCCTGGGCAAGGGGCAGTCTATTCTGTGAGCACACATGGGCTGAGTGCCAGCACCAGGAGTCAGATGCCAAAGCATGAGTCGGGGGGCCATGTGCCCGTGGCACCAGTGACCCGAGTGAGCGCAGGTGTGCGAGCGAGCGTGCAAGTGCTGGTGAAGACCAAGACAGACTAGCTGGTGGGGTGGCCTGGGAGCAAGGGGGTGAGCAGGTCTCCGGGTGTGAGGGTGCCTGTGCATGTCTAAGGGTAAGAGCACAGCAGGATGCTTCAGTTAATTCCAGATCTGAATTCAAAGAGCACTATCTGAAATGGATTCAGGAGACTGTGCCAGCTTCTGGGCTCACGGGAAAAAATAGTAAATAATATTTTTCCCTAGCCTTCATAAGGCACGAGGGAAATCAAATAAAGATAAAATAAATTAAGACTAAATGAAGACTTTTTGAAAAGTCTCGTATCATCTGACCTTCTGTTGCTTTTTTGTTATTTAAAACAGGCAAGAAATATTCAAGGTCTAGCCAATTTTTGCTCCCCAGAAGTTTCAACATAACCTTTCCTCTAGATGTCAGAAGATTTGGAAAAAGTCTGAATGCATGGAAATAGAATATTTCTGAACTAGAAACTCCAAAATTTTGATCCATGACAATCCACGTGTTTCTTTTTTTCAAAATCTGAATCTCTACAATAAAATCTAAATCGAGTTTTTTAAACTTTGGTTTAACCAAAGTTTTAAAATATTATAACATATTAAATATTTAAAATATTTTAATTATTAATAATTAAATATTTAAAATCTTTTAATAATATTTCCTATCCGTCATCTTTAAGAGAGGAGTTATGTAGGGTCGGTTGTTATTTGGTTTGGTTTTAATACTTACTAATACACTCTTGTTACAAGACACGGGATGGCAGGTATTTTTATACTGAGAAATTCAGCTTTTTCTAGCTCAGGACCTACCTCTCACAAGATCAACATCTATGAGGTCTGGTTTCACATGTCCTGTTTTCTTTGGTTTGTTTCTCAAACCCTGCAATAGGCAAATACTATCAAAATGCATTCATGTAGATGACAGACATTACAAAAGAAAAAATACCAATGCGGTCAGTAATTGTATTTAACCTATTCTGTTATTGAAAATTCAGACAAATATGTCTACTTCATAGATTTAAAGTACTATAAAATAAATATTCCAAGGAACAAGGCACAATGCCTTTTACAAGTGCCTTTTACACACTTTATAATCTAAACAAATCTCAACCAATTACTGACCCATTAGGTAATTTTTCAAACATAGGTAAGCACTGAACACTCATCTCCCATGGCTTGGGATTATGCAGACAGCATATGCACACGCTTGCAAGAATTAGTAATATATTTATATTAGGTTTTCAGAACTTTTGCAACAAATCACTTTCCTGAATCTCTTCTCTCACTAGACGTCTAATTAAACCTCACGAAATGCTTATGTTGCGACTCCTTAATTCCAAACCTGGATAGTAAATCATGTTGCAATGCAAAAATCACTAATCAGCAAGTTCCACTCTCGGAAATTCAAATTATAGAAAAGTATTGAATTTTTCTTATTAGTGAATATACATCAGTCTATTAAAAAGAGGAAAAAAAAGCCCACATAACATGAAAGACACAGGAAAAAAAAAGTAAGCTTATTTTGTCTTTTAGAAATGGCATCTTCCTTCACTGAAGAGCTAAACTATCTCGCAAAACTTTGAATTTTCTTTTTAATGCCAAAATGGGATGCTATACTCTCAAGCCTCAGAGATAGCTGTGAGTTAATTCTGATTAGCCCTTAGATTAGGCTCTTGGTCACACCAGCCAATAATGATTCCACAGAATACAATTCATACAGACTAAAACACAACATTTTGAAAAATATTCAGGTACAAATAGAATTATGATGGAAGTGGTTTAACTGTTTTCATTCGAAAAGCTGTTAAATTCACTGGTGAACCGTAGATTTCCACCATTGTCATATTTCATCCACTTGTGAAAACATTTCTTACTTAAATGTAAACATTAAATTCAGATGAAAGCATAAAAGTGAAATTATTATCATTGAGAGAAAGATCAGTGAAATCTGGTCATGTTAATCTTCATAAGAACAATATCAAGCAAATTGCTCAAATAAGTAGAGTGCAACTCATAGTATTTCTCACATTTAAATTCAACTGGATTTATTTTTTCCTGTTGAAATAAAAATGAAAAAAAAAAAACCAACCCAAACCGCTCACAATGAACTAGATACATAGTTATCACCTGATGTGCCTATTAGAAAAACGAGAGTTTGCGTGAAACAAAACAAAATTAATACATAGAACTGAAACATGGATAGGACAAAATGTGCTCTGAGGATGACAAATACAGAAAACCAGTTGTATTGTAGACTTAAGCACTGCAGAGTGCTTAACATGCAAGATTTTACAGAATGGCAGTCTTAAAACTGCAGTAATTTTATGTGGAATGAGAAAACAAACCCATAATTAGAATTGGAAATTAATATAATTCTAGAACCAGCTACAGATTCTTATGAAATCTTGCATAAGTGAGCCACTCTATTTCATAAAAAGATCTAAAGTTTACAAATAAAATGCTGAATGATACAATAATTTTCAAATGTATTAATGCTTATGGGCCACAAGATTTTTCTTGAAAGTCGAAATAAAGATGCATGTGCATGTCAGGAAAAGAAAAAAAGAAGAAAAAAATCACCTCTGGAAACACATGCAGAATCCTAGGAAAAAATTACCACTGTGACTAAAATTATGTTTTCAATTTAAAGAAAGAATTCTGAAAAAAAAAAAAAAGTCAGTGGTATAACTTGATGTATCTTTCATAGGAAAAGATGTGGTGACACATTCTTTAAAAATTGCATTGGTCAAATCGCAAAAGTTTTCAGTGTCCACAGATTACACTGAATTGGTCCTTCTACTTTTGCCACATGCAGTAAAAGAATTCCATTTATTAACATGCAATTTCTCCACTCTCTTAATGCATCACAAAAATCTGTAACAGATCTGGAAAACAGCAGTGTTTTTAACTAGGGTTAATTCAAAAAAATACTCATACAGTTTCATACTGTTCAGGCCCATTCAGTTAGTTCATATAACTTCTATTCCACACAGAACACATTTCAGCTAACTGATAGCAAAAATAAAGCTTAAATTAAAATGCTTCAAAATAGTTGCTATTATTGCAAAAAAATATTTCGCACAAATTTTAATATGAATTTTAATAGATTCTATTACAGTTCTAACTAAACTAAAAATTTCTACTCTCAGAAACAGATTTTCTACTAAAAAGAATACTTTTTTTAGATTTTTTTTTAGCAAAGTTCATTTATGGACAGTGCTGTAGTAGTTTAGAGATTAAAGCACTAAGGTGCAGCAGCTGAATTTAGCAGTCTGTTTCAGTGCTACCTTTATGACACTAAATTCAGGCAGCACGATCTCACACAGACAGCGTCATTAACTTGTTAGTTATCGGACTGAGCCAAGCCAGACGCGTTTCCAACAGGCACCAGGCATTCTTTGCAAATAAATTATTTGAATAACGTCCTACTATACCGAAGTTACAAGAACTTCGGTCATAACAGCGACTGGTTTTCCTGGCTGTGGGAAGAGCCCTGAAAACACGCAACCCGCTGGCGTCTGCGTGAAATCAGCGTCGCAGGGATCGCCACGCACGTTTCCGAACGCCGAAGGCTCTCGCCCAGCCGAACGGGCCCCTCCCGGTAACCCGAGCTGCCCGGTGCACCCCCGGCCGCCCGGGACTCTCCGGGAGCGGGAGCGGGCGGAGGGCCGCGCTGCACGGCCAGCCAGACCGGGATTTACAGCACCGCTACGATTCGGGCATCAGGTTTAGAAGCACTTCTAAAAATATCATCGACTTCCACTTAATTTGTCCGTTTCAGTACGGAAATCAGGGTGCTCCATAGGGCGGGTCAGTAAGAGTTTCCATGTAACGCAAGCAAGTCCCCCAGCACGTTTTGTTTGGCTACTGAAGGAAGTACTGGGGAGGTAAAAAAAAAAAACCACCCACAGGGAAACTGAAGCAATGTGCGTTTTGCTAATGTTAAGAATCAGCAATGCCTTGAAACTCATGCAGTAATAGCCCACTTCTCGTGTGCAGTATTTGAAGACTAAAAGGTTAATTGCCAGAAGATGTTAATTAAATTAACTTTAGCACAATGGAATACGACATCATATACAATCCATAAAACTGTTACACATAAGATTGATTTCTTTTTTTCCAAAAGGATTTAGCAATGTGGCAGACTTTGATGGCACTGTTAGTTAAACCAAAATGCAAAGAACGCTGTTAAACTACTTGTTCAGGGAAACAAAGCCTTAAGTACTTACCAGTCTAATAAACTGTACAAAACAATGACAGCATCATAAAGGAGGAAAAGTAAACTGCAGGTATAAGGTAACTAACTGCAAGCAAAGAGAGCTCAGATAACTGACGTTAGAATTCATCACAAAGCAAAGTGAAAGACAGAGGTACCAAAACAACTAAGCCCTGGCTTAAGATAACAAAAGAAAAAAAAATGCACTGACTGACAGAAAGATGCAGCACTTTAAATGCTGCAGAGTTATTAATTATGTAAAATAAATAGAGCATAATATGCCGGTTACCTTTGGTTACACTCCAGAAGTCTGGTTTTACTTTACCAGTATTAAATACCACTGCATACATTGTAAATTACATCAGCGTACACGACCACAGACAGCACTGCTGATAACCCGCCAAAAAAAAAACCATGTAGAAATAGTGTAATATTATTACCTTTATTTCTCTTTGCTCTACTGATTTTTCCCATATTTGTTGATCATATGCCCCAATCTAAAAAGAACACACACAAAGATCTACATTAGGTTTTAAGAGACATTGAGCAAACACAATCAATCAATCCCCAACAAGACAAGCCTCAAGACAGCAGGTTATTTCCTTGAGGAGACTTCTTTACAAAGAAATCTTTATCTTCTCCATTCCATCTTGGCCAGACTGGATCGAGCTAACCTGTAAGTGGATTGTGAGGGAGGGGAGAGGTGAGCACGCAGATAGCCTCAGCCTCATTGCGTGACTTGCACAAGTTAGAGGACTGGAACACCAGATGCCTCCCATCCAATAGGAATTCCACTCTCCCTGCTGACACAGAGCAGACCTCCAGCAGCAACGCTGACACAGTCTTTCAGTTAACTTTACAGAAAATACCTTGCACATCGTACCTTCAGTTTATTTATTATTTTTAAACCATCTCCCTCTATTTCCCGTTCCATTCCACCCACTTATACAGCTACACTGTCTATAGTTTTATCTCTTAAGACTGCGCAGCAACAAAATACACGGTCAGGCTGGTAATCAACTAGATTATAGGCTAGGGAAAACTCAAAGAATATCAGGAAATGGCACTTTTCCCACAGAAGCACTGACGAAATAATGTTCTTTGTAGACCTACTCCCAAATTTGTTCACTCTCATTAAGCTGCTAGTCTATTTATTCAAGAAACTCTCCTAAAGATCTTAGTTTTGTCTAAATGTGAACAAGTTTTTGATTAAAAAATTGGAGTAAAAAGGAATTGTTTTCTCCTAGGCTCAAATCTCACCACAGCATTGTAGAAAACTTTGTATATTTATAAGAGCGGAACCACAGAAAGACTAAAGGTTGATCCTGCAAGCACTTCTTAAAATCCTGGCCTTAAGACCAGATTCGATGAGTTCTGTCATTTTAAATAACAACCAATACAGGTAGCTATAGTAAGAAATTACAGTGCGCTTGTTTATACAAGAAAGCCACTCTACGACTGTCAGATATTTTGAAGAAGGGCAACCTTCAACTTCAGGAAATTCACATATAGGATAAAGTCACAAGAACAAGTCAATATATGACACAATATATCCACGTTTCATAAGAGGTTACCAAAGATCCTAAGATTGCTTTGAATTCTGCACAAACAGTGTTTCTAGGTAGTGGTCAGTAATGATCTCTTTTACTATGTCGATTTTAAAACCTTTCCGTCCCAGCAGTTCTACCTAGACGGACACACGCCTGCGCACACGCACGCGTGCGCACACTGTTGGATATCTGGAGTTTGATTCCTATCACAAACTCGGCACAGTTAAGTGCAAGATCACTTTTAGGTCACGAGGCAGAGACAGACACGCTTCCTGAGATTGGAAGTCCCTTCACTAGCTGTGCAGAGCTGATACAAGCAGCTTGGTCCAGACATGCGACAGAGAGGCAAGGGGAACCCCCATCATTTGGGCGAGTCTGCTTAAATTCTATCTTCCTGCAAGAGTATGACTTCTCTTTCCAGTCTGCAAACTGCAACAGACGTAAAGGGCCTGAGCACAAGTGCATACACCTGAAAATAGAAAAACTTCTGATTTGTCTTCTACTATTTCAGTCTTCAGTGTTAAATTAGAAGATGTTATTAAAAACAAAAAAAAAAAAAAAAAAGAAAGAAAAAGGTTTAAAAGGATCTTTTAACCAAGGATCCAATATAAATGTGAAAAGATATCCAGACAGGCCAAAACATACTCATAAACAAAAACTCTAAACGCATCTTCTGTGCCTCTAAATCTGATACACTAGGAAAAAAAATTAAAATAATTCTAATTTATAGCAGTAAGCATATCTAAAATTGAAAGTGAGAACAGTGAATTGAATTACCGAATTACCCATTCTCAAATTTAAATAATATTTCCCATTCACAAGAGGTAAGCACCCAAACAATATCTAGTTTGCTACCTTAAAAAAACTCAGAGAGGGCGGGCAGGAATCTACTGGCTTTTGGTAATAATAATAAATACTAGGCACCTCTCATTTGGAAAAAAAAATGTAGACTGTGGAAAATACTTAGGGAGTCGAGCACTGTTCTGGGCAGAATTAGGCACTTGCTACAATTAAAGTAATTAAACCATAGGAAGTTTAAGAGCTAACTCAACCTGAATAATAGCCAGCAATTAAAAAGTCGGTATCTTGAATAACCACTCCACCCAGACATTTATATCTAATTGTTCTGGCTTTTTCTCTAAATACATTTTAAGTGAAATCTCAGGTCTTCCTGTTTTTCATGAACTCTACTGAGAAGAGTCCCAAGTCAGGTTTTTATGCTGCATAATATTGTGTCGACCCATCTCATTTCCAAAAAAAGATTTCTTTCTACAAAGACAGAAAAGGGGATGTGGATCTGTCTCCCTCTCAAATACACAAGAAACAAGTATGGAAGGAAGCCTTCGTGCCAATAAAGCTGTAAAGCAAACTCTGTATTCCTAATTCCATTCATAGCTGAAACTGGTTTAGGGTTGAAAGAGTCTTTAGAAGAGCGTTCTTCCTTTAGACAAATAACAGACTGCTTGTTAAAGGAATTCTGGGAAACACAGATCCCAGAAGAGATCTGAGGCAAAGAAGCTGACTGATTTAAAATTTGACTTTGTTGTATTTTCTTACAAACATTTCTTCTCCCTCAAGGCTAGGTAGCAACTCCTGCCTCCACAAAAAGACAAGAAGTAGGGATTTAGCCATTCACATTTTTCTTTCAACATTGCCCCATAAAGCAATTCTTCCAGCAGGAGATAAAATGAGAGCGCCAAACACAAATTTAAGGGAGATGGTCTTTCACAACTGTTTTATTAGACTAGTGGATCCAGCTAATCACCTCCGATCAACTTTAATTATTAAAATCTGAGCACAGGGCTATTAAGTAAAGGCATACTGTTGCAAACTGAAAAGAGTTAAAGGCATAATTACAGACAGCAAGTACCATTACGATCTTCCACGTTTTTTACAATTTTTTTATAATCTACTTAATTTCACCTCTTTGTATTTTAAGAAAGTTTTAGAAGCACTTTAGGGAGCAGGTGTACGTGCTCAGCACATCAAATTTAGACCTGATACTCAACTTCCCTTCTCTCCATCTGCATAAGTATCCTTCTATACTTCTCTTGCAAGTGCATCAGAAGGAAACACATGAAAACAAAGGCATCATTATGAAGCAGCATACTGGCACATTTTATTTCCCACATTAAACAAAAATAAGTAGAAGTAGGGTTACTGAAACAAGGCAAGTAAAAAACATAGGCATTAATTTTTTTTCTTCTCTATCTTATGCCAGGAAAACGCATTTACAGTTTGTGAAACATATCTTGCAGAATTCATTGAAAAGTTTTTTTCATCGACAACAAGCTGAGTTATAACATATCATGATTACCAGAGATACTAGACATCTGTATGAATTAAAGAATGTAATTCCTGAATGAATTCAAGAATGTAAGTTAATACTAGTAAAGCTTCTCAGTTTTAAATTATTGAGAGCATCAGTCAATTCTATCTTCAAAAAGTTTTGATTTACAAGTATTTGCATCTAAACTACGTTTCATGTTAAATCTAAACACTAAGTTGTCAAATGTTCATGTGCAGGCTCTTGCTCTTGGCTATTCATGCAATTCTTTAAAATTGTACATACCTGCAGGACACTGAAAAGAAGTCTAGCACCTAGCAATGCCAAAGAAATAAAGCTCTAAAGGCAAATGAAATGAAGGAATAACCTTCTAGAGATAATTAAATATTTTTTAATTTTAAATAATAATTAATAATTAAAAAAACCTAAAATAATCATTCATGCTTCCAACCTGAAGAATTTAAAAATACACCAAACTTGATCAAAGGAAGCTTTCCATCAATATGTGACTATCTCCAGGTCTCCTCCACAGGTGTTCAAGTGTCCTGTGCCTGGAACATGAAGTCCAACATGAAGGCCCAAATCTGCTCAATTTGTACCTGTGTACTCCTGAACCCACCAACTCTACCTGGAGTCTCCTCCATTATAGATGCAAGCTCTGCAGTATCCTTCAAAGAAAATTTAAAGTACAAAATACAAGGGTCTAAAAATTGTCCAACTTTTAAGTATACAACAAGAAGTAATGCTTTTAAAAATCTGCCTCAGACTTAGTGCAAGACTGTTTGTATAAGAGCTTGTCACTGGTATTTTCAGTCCATCAGTACAGTCTACAACTGGCAATAGACTTTTTTTTAGCAAATTATACAACACAATACAACAATTTTAATCTGATTTACCACAAAAATTTATCCTAATTTGATTTATAAAACATCTAATCAAAGAGGATCTGAAATGTGTATTCTATAGCATTTATTATGATTTGGCAGAAAATAAATTCACAAAAAACCCTCCCTTGAAATTTTTTAAATTATTTGTTAACTCAAGTTACATAACGAGGCCTATCTTATCATTTTTAAGTTTAACTTTCATCACCAAGCATCAACAGCAATACAACCCTGTTGTAGGAAATCTGCCAGTAATATGTTACAGATACAAAAAGTTGTGGTATGACCTACCTGTAGCAGAACTAGATAAACTAGCAGATGTTATTTTATACGCGTTTAGTTTAAATCATGCATCCCATGCTTCCTCAATGCCAAGATTCTATCAAGTCTATCCAAACCAGTTACCCCTAAAATGTTCAGTTCTCAAGACACCATGCCTCAATAAATACCGAGTGAAGAAGATGAAGGGAATTCTGTTTCTTTATGTATTTGCAGAATTAACAACTGTTCTTCAAGCAGCTATTAAAATTTTCAGCATATAAGGGACTACACGGAAGACTGAAAACTCTGCCAGTCTTCTTTCACAGTGGAAAAGTGAGAGTTTAGCATCCTAAATTAACTAAGCATAACAAACTTTCAAATACATAAAAAAATTTCAAAAAATTGTCTAGGGAAAAAAAAACGTTTCCTTACAAGTAATTAATTACCAAAAAAAACCCCAAACTTGTATGTGACTTGGCATGGAATATTATGCTGTACAATTACACCTATGACAA